CCACCGCCCCTGGGACTGACACCTGAGATTTGTTCACTGCAACCAATTTTTTAGAGTAAATTTTAAAATTGGGATGGAAGAGTCTCTAATGAGACGCCGTGGCGCTGCTGTATTAACAGGCAAAAAAAAAAAAAAGCAAATGCAGGAGAGACAGAAATGAGACAGTGATGAGTGGGAGTGGAATAAAGTTCTTCTGCCAACGTTTGGATTCTTAGCAGCAGAAAAATGGGTCGGTCTTCAAATCAATGCAAACAACATTAGTGAGTAAAGTAGTTCCAGTCTGAGTCCAGGAGGATTCTCTTTCTTTTTTTTTCTTTTTTTTTTTTCTGCTAGTCTTGATTGTAAACGAAGATGTTAAAAACTGGTTGTTGTGATTGTTAGTCAAGAAAATCTACAAGAAAAACAAAAACATTTTAAAGGTTTTATTAAGAGTTTTTCGATACACTGAAGTATCACATACTGTGTCGTGACTATAGTACCATACGTATCACGATACTGTCTCGTGATACGTATGGTACACACAGCTAGTGTTCCAGAACTAAAACGTCTACTTTTTCATGTTGTTACCAGCTCTGAACACACCATCATTCATTCATTCATATTTCCACTTTTATTGCTGCTGCTCATTGTGTTGTGGCGAGGTTATCAAAGATCTGATGTTCAACTATAAATCGGCTCCACGGCAGCGGCAGAGTGTACCCCCTGGTGGTGGGTAGAGTATAAACCTCTTTATACTCGTCCAGGAGGGACGGATGAATCCATCACGTCTGACCTCCTCCACCGTCCGAACCTCTGCTCTGCTCAGGGTGTAAATATGAAACGGCTCCATGAAACGGACGTCAACGTGTTTGTGGTCAGTCACAAGGGCTGATGGGAATAAATTCTCTGTGAATAATCCCTGTTAACACCTCGTCCTGTGAGTGAACAAGCAGCACCGTCGTTCATGTTTTTGCGAGGACGTGCCAGCGGGTGTCACTGCCCCCCCCCAGTGTGATCCTAGTCTCAGACTCTGTTCCATCTGAACATCAGTCACTAACTCTGGAACAGAGGGATCTACATTTGGAATCACTAGAGAAGAAAGAAAAGAACAAGAAAAAGGAAAACCAGACTTCTGTCTCACCAATGAATTCATTCATTACCTAAGAATAAATCCACAGTCAAACTTCCAGTTTGTTCCAGGTTTTAGCTTCAAACGCACGCCTTTTAAATGTGCCATGAATTTCAATCCCCCCCCCATCACTGACTGTTGTCTCTCTCTCTCTCTCTCTCTCTCCCGGCTGCTCCGCTCTTTTCTTCTTTCTTTCTATATTTTCGTTTAAGTGCCTTCTGCTACTTTTTAAAGTGCTGCGTAAATAAAATCTATGATCACGGGCCATAACTGCATCGAGCGCTTGGACTCTGTTCCCTGTCACACTGGGATAGTGCCTTGCCCAAGGACTCCTGATCCACAGCGACCGGTCCAGTTCTGAAGAACAGTCGTCTAAAATGAACCGACACGAAACAGGAACGTTTCAACGACGACACGAAGGACCAGACGTTAAAGGTGTGGTCATGTGACACGGGTCGGTTTTGTGACATGATAATCATCAACTGATTGATTGATTGATTGATTACCAGGAGAAGCCAATCAATAATTTCCTGCCTGTACAACTGACCGACAAAGAAGAGGCTGAAAATGAAATGTCAAAAAAAAAAAAAAAAAAGTCCAGATCAATTTGGTTTTGGTAGAAAACTCAACAGAGAAACACAATCATTTACTTAAACTAAAGATTGTTCTGTTAAATATCGTTGTCACACATTTGTACTTATTTAAAGAAATCTGGTCGAGCAAAAAAAAAATAAAATAAAATAATTCTTCATTTTGAATACTTTGGAGAATATTGGACTTTTTTTCAGAGTTTCAGTCTTTTTTTTATATTGGACTTTTTTTTCAGAGTTTCAGTCTTTTTTTTTATCATTCTGTAAAATAAAATAAACACTGGTTTGTGTTGTGGTTTAATTAGTTAATTAGTTAAACTAGTGACCAGGGACTGACCGTTAACCGTGAGGGTGACCTCGGTCTCTCCGACTCCGATCCGTGGTACGATGGCCTTACAGACGTACTGGCCTGCGTCGGACTGACTGACCGACTTCAGATACAGCTGGTTGTTGTTGCTGAGAACCTGAAAAACAACAACAACAACAACAACAACAATAAATGAAGTTAAGTCTGAGGTTTTTTTGGAGGAGAACGGAGACGAATCAAGACTTGACGCAGCAGGATCTGTTTGTTTGGTTTTGGGTTTTGTTTTTTTTTTTGCCCTGAAGCTTTTTGGATAATTTGTTAGACACGAATTAAAGATTTAAGACACGAAAACAAAGTCTTTCTGCACTAACTGCCTGTTTTACAAATGAGCAGCCGAGTAAAAAGTCTGTTTGTCACACATTATTATGGGATTGCGTCTGTGTTTACTGACGGATTTGACGTAGGACTTTCTGCGATCTGTCGCAGGAATTTGTTTCTGAACAAGACGCGGCTTTTTATGTCTCTGACAATAAACTGCAGACGAACAGTCAACCAATCATCGTGTGGATCTGGACCAGGATCACGTCAGTACAGGAACACTGCCCCCTGCTGCCATTTTCTATTGTTGCTTTTTTTTTTTTGCAACTGATCCAGATGTTAGTTTTAATTTGCAACCGTAAAAAAACAAAAAAAAAACAGTAGGTGGCAGTGTTGAAACTTCAAAGTGACAGAGCAAATAATATAATATTATAGTGAATAATTATTTAATTTTTCATTAAGATATTGAACTGGATTTCAGGGGCGGTGGGGGGGGGGGCAGGGGCCGAGAC